GTCTCAGGAGGGGGCAGTCAGGGGACAGGTAGGGGGTAGAGTCCTAGGGGGCCAGTTAGGATGTGGGGAAGGTCTCAGGAGGGGGCAGTCAGGGGACAGGTAGGGGGTAGAGTCCTAGGGGGCCAGTTAGGATGTGGGGAAGGTCTCAGGAGGGGGCAGTCAGGGGACAAGAGGCAGGGAGGCTTAGGGAGGGGGTGGAGTCCTGGGGGGGAGTTAGGGGCAGGGGTCCCAGGAGGGGGCAGTCAGGGGACAAGGAGTGGGGGGGAGGGTTGGGGGTTCTGAGGGGGCAGGAAGTGGGAGGGAGTGGAAGGGGCAGGGGCGGGGCTAGGACAGGACGGGGGCGGGGCTAGGGCGGGGCTCCTCCCGTCCTCTTTTTTGATTGTTGAAATATGGTAACCCTAGCCAATATGGTCAGGGATGCAACCCCATGCTCTGGGTGTCCCTAAGCCTCTGATTGCCAGATACTGGGACTGAATGATAGGGGATGGATCATTTGATAATTGCTCTGTTTTGTTCATTCCCTCTGAAGCATCTGGCATTGGCCACTGTCGGAAGACGAGATACGGGGCTGGATGCTCAGTTCACTGTAAGCTGCACGGCCATGCAGCTGCCTATTAAGCGCTGCACAGACGCTCAGGGCTGCGGCAGGGAGAGATGCCGCTCCCCACGCTCCAGACCTGCCATGCTGCCCCTCTCCCCATCCCCGACCTAGCTCAGCTCTGGCTGGGGGATAAGTGCCCCTACTCCGACCCAGCCCAGCACCGAACCTGCCATGGCCAGGGGCTAGGCGCCTATCCCCCAACCCAGCCTGACCTAGACCTGCCACAGCAGGGAGAGGCGCCTTACCCCTCAGGTGCTGCTGCAAGGAGAGTGAGCTGGGGAGGAGTCCTCTCTCCCCATTGTAGCCCCAGGGAGCCCCACTGCACCCCAATTCCCTCATGCCTAGCCGCACCCCCAGAGCCCACACCCCAAGCCAGAGCCCTCACCCCTCTGCACCCCAACCCTCAGTTCCAGCCCTGAGCCCCCTCCAACACTCCGAATCTCTCGGCCCCACCCTGCCACATGAATTTTGTTATGTGCACCAATATGAAAGTAATGTGTCACACATCACCTCCATATTGGTGCACATAACAAAATTCATTCTGCACATAGGTGAGAAAAATTAGAGGGACACTGGCTGGATGGACCATTGGTTTGACCCAGTATGACCATTCTTATGTTTTTAGGGGTCAGGGTAGATAGTTAATTGAACATGAGCTCCAAGTCCAATGCTGTGGCTAAAAGGATCATCGCAGTCCTGAAATCATGGAAACTAGACAAATTGAAACTAAAAATAGATGCAAATTTTTAATGGTGAGGGTAAATAACCCATGGAACCTACCTAGGAACATGATGAATTTTGTATCACTTTAAATCAAGACTGACTATCTTTCTAAAAGCTATGCTCCTGCTCTAACAGGAGTTATGGCCCTGATGCAGACTTTCTGTAGCCTGTGTTATGCAGGAGGTCACATTAGATTAGCATAATGGTCCTGTCTGGCCTTAAAAATCTATGAATCTTTATCTGATGGTCTTGTACCACCAGTAATACCTACTGTGAATGAGCCTGACCACAAATCCCAAAAGTCAAGACTCTGTAGTCTGTATGTCATTTTATCAACCACATTTGCTTTTTAGCTAGCACTGTTTGGTTGTTGTCTGTTGTGATGTCCCAATTAATTCTTATGTAAAAGAAGTGGACCAGTTTGACCTCCCATTACATTTATTAGCTTCTCTAATTGGTAGAGACACAAATTCATGCTGGAAGAACTAAGAATGACACTTGTTTAACATCTGAAATTGAGTTGCTTTAGTCATTCAGGCCCTGTCTACACTAGGGCAATGGTGCAAAGTTTCCACCCATTCCCTAATGTAGCTAGGGCCTCACAGTGCAGGGATGGTCTTCATTAATGATGCATAACTTTACAGTGTTTCTCAATATGAGCAATTCTTTGCATTATGCTTGCAGCTGTCAGGGCATGTTAGATCATCAGAAAAAACTGTCACATATTGGTGTTAAGCTTGGAGTCTCACACCACTTCATCCCAATACAATATAAACAAGTGTATATTAAAAAAGGTACTGTCAAACAATTGCAATTTGACACTGTACTAAGAACCACGTTCTGTGATCTGTCACTTAGCCACTACAGATTTGGTAAAAAAACATTGTTTCCAAATCAGAGTCCCCTGGGGAAAACACACAGCCTTGTGTGTTATTTCCATATCAAACACTCCGTGGTGACCCTACCACAGCAATTCAGTGGTAGCCTATGGCTGGGGGGGGAACCCCAATGACAACCATAGATTGGATGGTCATACTAAAATGATATGACACGTAGTGCTCTGTTCTTCAAAGGGCCGAGCACTGAGATCCCAAAGCATTTCAGTGTACGAGAAGCAAATGATAGTCCCAATGAATTCAGTAAGACTCCTCACATGCTTCTAGTTAAGAATATGCTTAAGTGGTTTGCTGGATTGGGGCCAGAATGCTCAGCACCTTGAGAAATTGAAGCCTCATTTAGTATTAACTGCCCAGTCCTAGACTAGATTGATGCCTCTCAATGAGCCACAGTTGGCTCCAAATCCATCACATTCCTTTTGTTTGTCAGAGATTGGAGTGCTGAGGTATGATAGGACCCTACAGGGGCTCACTAGCTATACAATGTTACCCTAGTGGCATGTTTGTTTGTTGTTTTTTAGTTAGAGAATTTAATAATTTACCAACCGGGAGGGTCCCACCATTAAAACTAACTCAAAGCATATTTTTAATATGCTGTTTTAGGAATTCCCAAAGTCTCATGGGTGAAGTGGGCTAGGATGGTATTACAGGAAGTAGTTGTTGGACAATGTAATAATGCACCCTACAGAAATTTGAGCGGTCTCTGCAGGTGTTCTGTCAATCTGGACTCAGGTGGAGAAGAGCTCCAGGTGAAAATTACCTATGATACATTCATTCAGACAGTATCTTGAAGTCTCAGTAATTATATGTTCATTGCTGCAAGCTTGATTGGTGCATGGTACTTCATAGCGCTAGCTAGAGTACTTATCTATATACAGTATTAACACTGGAAACTTTAGCTGTATTTTAAGACTTAAAACAGTATTTTTTATGAACCCTAGACCAGAGCAGCATTAATTACTCAAACAAAACTACACATACTAGAATGTTCTCCTCCCCAAATCTCCTGTTTTCTTAATGTCTTACCTATAGTGAGATATACTAGACATAGACATAATTGTTTTTGTGAAGAATATGGCAATATAAAATTCAGTATATTAATTAATCACTAATGGCTACACTAAACCAGCCCCTAAAAATTAAGAGGTGTTCATCCTTTGCCTTCTGTTTTTTACTTGTATTAATCCCTTTCTGCCTTACTGTCATGTAGCTTTGCTCTGCTTGTGTCAGCATTAAACTTATTATATACTGCCTCTTGTGTCTGGTGTTTGATCAGGTCCAAAAAATATAAAATTTCAATGTTTTGTTACCTGAATCATTACTGGATTGACATGCTCTTGTCAATTTTTGTGGGACCTGGAATGTTTTTAATTTTTTTTTTTTTTTTTTTTTTTTTTTTTTTTTTTTGCTT